TAGTTAGAGAGAGAGACATGGAGAGGGGGATGGAGAGATAACAGGAGAATGGTAGTTAGAGAGAGAGACATGGAGAGGGGGATGGAGAGATAACAGGAGAATGGTAGTTAGAATTAGAACGACTCCCTCTAATTATCAAAAAGAAAAGAGCAATTAAATTCTACAACCACCTAAAAAGAAATGATTCTCAAACCTTCCATATAAAGCCATCACCTACAGAGATATGAACCTGGAGAAGATTCCCCTCTGCCAGCTGGTCCTGGGGCTCTGTTCACAAACACAAACAGACCCCACAGAGCCCCAGGACAGCAACACAATTAGACCCAATCAAATCATGAGAAAACTAAAAGATACTTACTTGACACATTGGAAAGAATTAACAAGAAAACAGAGCAAACTAGAATGTTATTTGGCCTTGAAACAGAAAGTACACAGTAGCAGAATACCTGACCACTGTGACTGACCCAGTCTCAGTGAGCAAAGCCTTGCTATTGAAAAAGGCCACCATAAGCAGACCTGGCTCTCAAGAGAAGACAGGCTATGTGCCCACTGCCCACAAAATGAGGTGGAAACGGAGTTACACTTCCTAACCTCCTGCCAAATGTATGACCATATTAGAGACACATATTTCCCTGATATTATACCCACAAAGAATTTGAAAACAAATCCCATATCGATTATGTGAAATACCACTGTGTGCCACCACAGCAGCAAGATTTGTGACCAAGAAAAGGGCAACCAGTGGAGCACAAACACCATCGTGAATACAACCTATATTTATAGACAATAATATAACATTTGAAATGTCTCTATTCTTTTAAAACTGTTGAGAGTGTAATGTTTCCTGTTCATTTCTGATTGTTTATTTCCCTTCTTTATTCCCCTTCACTTGCTTTGGCAATGTAAACATATGTTTCCCATGCCAATAAAGCCCTTCGATGTAGGGTTAACAGAGAGATGGGTAGTTAGAGAGAGACATGGAGAGTAGAGATTGAGAGGGGGGAATACAAGAGAAGGTGTGAGAGAGAGAGGGGATGAGATAACAGAGAGGGGGTGAGATAGAGAAAGGGTAGTTAGAGAGGGGAGGAGAGTGGGATGAGGAACAGGGATGTTTGAGAGATAAGACAGAGAGAAGGGTAGTTAGAGAGGGGGATGGAGAGGGGGAGGGAGTAGATAACAGGAGAGTATTAGAGAGGGGATGGGAGGGGTGAGAGATAACTGAGAGAGGTAGTTAGAGAGAGAGATGAGAATAGAGAGGGGGATGGAGAGGGGGATGAGATAACAGAGAGAAGGGGTAGTAGAGAGAGACATGGAGAGTAGTTAGAGAGGGGGATGGAGAGGGGGATGAGATAACAGAGAGAAGGGTGGTTAGAGAGGGGGATGGAGAGGGGGATTTAGAGATTATTTTTATTAAACCTTGATTTAACTAGGCATGACAGGGAGAAGGGTAGGGTTGCCAAACAACAACACACAGCACTGGGACGACACCTGAAACGTTCCACTCTAATAATAGCCACTTCACTGTAACGTATAGACTACATCTCTACTGTATAGACTACATCTCCCATAGTAGTTATGCCCCCATACAAACCCACGATGAACACATTACAGACACATCCATCCATCACCTCTGGTGTTACTCATCCATCAGAGTCCTATGTGGCTTAGGGCTACTGCAGGTCTGGCCGTCCCATGAAGTACATGTATTATCTCAAGGTGGGGATGAAAATCAATGAAAGCAATATTCCTATTGGATTTAGTTTATGCCATCGACCCTTGGCTCTGAGCTGGTGTGTAGATCATCGGTGGAGCGGAGAGTGGGGAGAGTGGCTGACCTCTCGCTAAACAACCTCCATGCATGTGTTGTGAGATCTGATCATCTGTGCAGGGTGACTGCAAAAATGGGGCCGACAGCACCGCATTTTGGGAGTGTCCTAAAAAATACTTTTACAATGTACTCTGTTTTTGTTGCTCTGAGAAGGTGTTCAGATGTGTTCCACTAGGCATGTTTTAAGACACAGCAAAACAAGGCCCTTCATGTTATTTATACAACACACAAGTGAGTGCCAAATGAAGACAAACGGCTTAAATTAATGTAGAACTAATTCATTGTTAAGGCTTTCACACAACCCTCTCTCTTTTTACCTTAAAAGTGTTATTTCTCGCTCTCTCTCGCTCTCTCTCGCTCCTCTGAGGGAAAAGGCAGAATGTCACGCTCAACATTCCGAGCGTGTCTCCGGAGTTCCTCAGTGCCAGCTGAAAAGCAGGCTGCCAGGGGTCACCCAAAGCTCGGGTTCCTCTCTAAACACCCATCAGTCCTCTCTGGAAGTGACCTAGTATCCACAACAGGGCTCAAAGACGTGGCGTGGGAGAGTGGTAGGGATAGTTTTAAGTTTCAAGTTTTAACGTCACATGCACAAGTAAAGGCATTTCACTGTACATGTGCATGTGACATTAAAACTTGAAACTATCCCTTCCGCTCTCCCATGCCACGTCTTTGAGCCCTGTCGGTGTAGGGTGAAGTGACCCCCTAGACGCTGATCTGGGGACAGTTTAGCATTTTCTCCACTAATGGTTGAGGTTAGGATTGGAGGAGGACAAGTTGATCCTAGATCTGTATGAATCTAGGGGAAACTCTGACTGTCATTCTGACTGTGGTCACAGAGTTGATCCCACTGCTGCCACCAGTGAACCAGCAATATCTGCCCCACAGGGATCTGCAGCTTGGATCCGATGGGCTGTTTTTATGAGTGTTGGGATTTTACGAGCATTTTCCTCGGCTTCCTCCGACAGCTTTCTCAGCTCCATTGCCGTCATCCGACCTCCGGGGTATTGTAGAGTGGAAAGCCGTGTCTATCCAACATACCGCATCAATAAAGCAACATAAAAATGAGTTTAGATAATTTATCAACATTTCTCCCTCGGCACAAATGGGCATATGCTGGTTGAAGCGGAACTATTTTATATCTGTATGGAATGCATTGGCTGAGGTTCTTCACACGGACTGGCCATAGAGCAGTTTGGGCAATGCCAGATGGGCTGGTACATCTTTAGCCCAGTGGGCCGGTCTAAATGTGTGGTTTTAGCACAGAATGACCATGATTTTTCTAATAATGGGGGCCTCTAGGAAAATAAATGGGCCAGTTTGTTAGCCTTGGTCACATTCTGGTCCCAGTCCATTCCCTGCTGGGTAACAGAATATATTTCAATGATGCAAGCAGGGTAGCTACTTATATGAAGTTAAATCCCCTTAATTTGTCAATAGCAAATAACTCTTCAACATGCCTGTGTTTAGCCATCGTCATATCTCTCAACCTCAGTCCTTCCACCCACTAAACCCACAGTCCAGGGCATTAAAGCCTTCCACAGCCATCAGCATAACACAGTCCCACCACCTCCAGTCTTGTATACACTCTCCCTCTTTGTCATTTGCACTTGACTTGAAAATGGACTCCCTTTTCTTTGGTCTCTCTATCCCTTTCTCTCCTCTCACCCTCTCTTTCAACACATGACAAGAATACCTGATGAAAAGATCGAAATGCTTCTCCAGATGGGCTTCCCCCCCCCCCCCCCCCTTAACCCTCCCCACTGCCTCCCATCCACACCCCTCCTCATACCCAGCCCCTCTCCATCTACACCACCCCTCCTCCTACCCCGCCCCTCTCCATTCACAGCCCTCACATTAACATCAGACATGCACATGCTGGCCCGGGTCTTGTCTCCCCTGCCTGGCCTGGGTCTTGTCTCAGGGGAGCCAGTGGCAGCATATCGGCCCGGCCGATCTTAATGCATGTCTTCCGCAACAAATTGGCCCGTTTACTTAAGAGTCATGCTTCGTTGTGCTTTGGCCTATGAATATTTTATAAGACCGGGTCCGTTGATGGATACAATGACCGGTTGGTTCCCTTATCTTATTTAACCAGCCAGGGAGATGCACTGCCGTGAACACGGCCCTGCTGAGACTCGCAACCAGGAGAAGGACTGTGGTACGGAGAAAGAGGGGTGTTAAGGTATTAGGTCTCAGTCCTTGTCTGTGTCCCAAATGGTACCTTATTCCCTATATAGTGCACTACTTTTGAGCAGAGCCTATAGGGTAGTAGTGCACTATATAGGGAGAAGGGTGCCATTTGGGATGCAGACAAGGACTGAGACCTAGTACCTCAATACCCCTCTAGCTCCGTACCACAGCTCAATCCACACCTTGAAGAGAACACTGGTATCTGGTGGGGAAATGAAAGGAGAAAAAAATGTAATGTTCCCTTTCTCTCTCTCCTGTCCTGTCTCTGCTTTCTCTCTCTCCATCCCCTGGGGTGGAGTGGCTGTTTGATTTAAAAACCCTTTTCATATCACCTTTGCCATAATGGCTAATAATGCTAGCCTCCAAATCAATGGGGCATGTCCTAGATTGTCAGAGTGGCCCGCTCCATGAAGGGATCTGGAGGGCACTCTGTATTTTAGTTTATTACCTGGGAAGACAGACTGCTGGCCGGGACCTGGTCTCAATTCTCCAGGCCTGTAAGGGCCGGTGCTCTTCCCCAGAGAACGGGGCTCTCACAGGGGCTTTATGGGATGGCCATGCCCTGGTAGTAGGCTGTCTCTCTTCATTAACACTAAAGGAGACAGACACTCTCTGGGATTCTAATGCCGCCCCAGGCTACCTGGAGATTGTGCTGAGTGGGCAGAGTGGGGATGGGGTACTGGGAGGGTTGTGTGTGTGTGGCTATGGAGGGGGGGGGGGGGGTTATGCGTGTGTGTGTGTGTGTGTGTGGGGGGTAGCATGTGTGTGGTTTGTGTAAGGTGAAGGGAGAGGAGGTGGTGAGAAGAGAGTCGTTTGTGCTGTTGTATGTAAGGAGGTATGGAGAAATGCTCCATTCCCTCCATGCCTTCTAGTAGTCTTACTGTAAATTAGTTGATTCATGTCACTGGTTCTGTATAAACTATAATGCAACAGTCCTGGACCTTAAACACCAGTCTGTCAGTACAGTATCCTGGACACTTCCATGGCTATAACACCAGTCTGTCAGTACAGTATCCTGGACACTTCCATGGCTATAACACCAGTCTGTCAGTACAGTATCCTGGACACTTCCATGGCTATAACACCAGTCTGTCAGTACAGTATCCTGGACACTTCCATGGCTATAACACCAGTCTGTCAGTACAGTATCCTGGACCTCTCCATGGCTATAACACCAGTCTGTCAGTACAGTATCCTGGACACTTCCATGGCTATAACACCAGTCTGTCAGTACAGTATCCTGGACACTTCCATGGCTATAACACCAGTCTGTCAGTACAGTATCCTGGACACTTCCATGGCTATAACACCAGTCTGTCAGTACAGTATCCTGGACACTTCCATGGCTATAACACCAGTCTGTCAGTACAGTATCCTGGACACTACCATGGCTATAACACCAGTCTGTCAGTACAGTATCCTGGACCCCTCCATGGCTATAACACCAGTCTGTCAGTACAGTATCCTGGACACTTCCATGGCTATAACACCAGTCTGTCAGTACAGTATCCTGGACACTTCCATGGCTATAACACCAGTCTGTCAGGACAGTATCCTGGACACTTCCATGGCTATAACACCAGTCTGTCAGTACAGTATCCTGGACACTTCCATGGCTATAACACCAGTCTGTCAGTACAGTATCCTGGACACTTCCATGGCTATAACACCAGTCTGTCAGTACAGTATCCTGGACACTTCCATGGCTATAACACCAGTCTGTCAGTACAGTATCCTGGACACTTCCATGGCTATAACACCAGCCTGACGGTACAGTATCAGCCTCACTGCCTGCAATGATCGTCACCTCTGCTTGTTAAACCAGCTCTTTCTCTGACACTGAAGGAGTTAAAAGACAGAGAGTCACATCTCTGAGCCTCAGTGGCTTTTATCGGCAGCTAATTAAATCTCCCGCTATTCATTTGACGTAATGTGGTTTTAATTTGATTAGAGGCCGGGTCAGGAAGAGGTTCCAGGAAGCAGCGGAATGAGGAAGAGGGGAGAGAGAGAGAGGTTGAAGAGAAAGAGAGGTTGAAGAGGAAGAGCGAGAGAGAGAGAGAGGTTGAAGAGGAAGAAAGATAGGTTGTTAACACAGGACAAATACAGTACTGTGGGTGTATGATAACCTTATTACATAATCTACCAGGGTGTAAGGAGAGGGGGTGATGGGGGGAGATCTCTATAGGGTGTATGGAGAGGTAGTGGGGGGAGACCTCTACCAGGGTGCAAGGAGAACAGGAGGTGGTGGGAGGTCTCTACCAGGGTGTAAGGAGAGGGGGTGGTTGGGGGAGGTCTCTACCAGGGTGTAAGGAGAGTCCATAAAGAGAAGGGTGGACTGTATAAGGAGGCTATAAAGCACAGCACAAGGACTGGTCCTGGAAGGGTTCTGCTGCGCTAGTTGCTTCTGGAGGGTGCCATTTTCCTGAAGGATGGCACCATTTTGCTGTGGTTGGGCACCATTTCGTTGCAGTGTCTTGTGGGTTGTTTGTAGGTTACCCTGTATGTCTCTTAGCATGCCTAGGATGAGCTGTAGCAGTTGGTCCTTATCCTTCTCCTTCTGCCCCTCTGCCTTGTGTGTGCCATAGTAAACTAAACTGTCTTCCGGATCCATCGCAGCAATCAAATCCGGCTCCAAGGACCGGTAAATTGTGTGACTTGGGATTAGATGTTGTGTTCTGGAGGGAATACAAAGAGGCGATAGCTACGACACATTAGCATACAAAACAAAGTGTCATAACTAAGTATAACATACATGCTAACCAAACAAAGGACATTACCAATATCTATGGAACTCGGGCTATAAGGCAACCAAGGAAGCATTCTAAGGAAAGTATAGCATCATAAATGGTCTGATTGGCAATAACTAGTTTGAGTTAACTGAACTCGGTTTGAGTTAATTGAACTTGTTAGGTTTCACAGATATTGGTGTCCTCATGGTGCTGAAGATGAATTCTGTCTCTGCTACAGTCTGAACGTGTACCTTTTTTCTCCTTGCTGTCTTGCTAAAATGAGTATTACAGAGAAAAAGCTGGTTCACACTAGCGATCTCTTGTTTGGTATTCAAGGTGTGGTATCCTCCGAGATTAATTTAAAGGTGGACCTACAGGGGGTGGATGCAACCTTTAATTTTTGTGTTGAATGGATAAATAAATTACAGTGGGATCGATGTGGATTTAATCTGCCGTGCCTCTTGACATCCATCCAAGAGTCTCTCCCTCCCATTTTCAGCACCCAGAAGACTGATGATAGATGAGTTGCCTACTCTCTACACCCACCCCCCATGCTAGTGGCCAGCCCTAACACACATATACACATACAAGGAAGACACAAACATACTGTAAAATGTAATATAGTACTACACAATTATACTGAGAGAGGAATTTAGATCAATAACAGTAAGATGCTGCAAGGAGAAAGCAAACTTCACCGTTACATTTTTATTTCATTTGAACACTGACAATGTTGAATGATTTCCCCACCGTTCCAACACAGACGGACAGACAGTGCTCTGGACTGATCACAGATCCATCTAAAGTTACCCTTCTGGATTACCCTCTGACATCCCACCTCTGTCCCCCAACCCCCAGGCCCCCCAACTCCCGAATTCCCCAGTCCCCCAACCCCCCAGGTCTCCCAACCCCCCAAGCCCCCCAGGCTCGCCAACCCTCCAGGTCCCCCAACCCCCCAACCCCCAGGCTCCCTGTCCCACAACCCCCCTGTCCCCCCTGTACCCCAACCCCCCTGTCCCCCAACCCCCAAGGTTCCCCAACTCCCCAAGCCCCCCGAGTCCCCAGCCCTAAACTCGCCCCAGCTCGCCCCAGTCCCCAGCCCCAAGCTCGCCCCAGTCCCCAGCCCTAAACTCGCCCCAGTCCCCAGCCCTAAACTCGCCCCAGTCCCCAGCCCTAAACTCGCCCCAGTCCCCAGCCCTAAACTCGTCCCAGTCCCCAGCCCTAAACTCGCCCCAGTCCCCAGCCCCAAGCTCGCCCCAGTCCCCAGCCCTAAGCTCGCCCCAGCTCCAGTGGCCCCTGTCCTGTGACATCTCAGACCACTGTCTATTTTTGAGTTCCAAATGGCACCCTATTCCCTTCATTGAACACTATGGGTTCTGGTCAAAAAGTAGTGCACTACTGTATATAGGGAATAGGGTATCATTTGGAATGCACCCAATACCCTGTCGGCTCTGTAGGAATGTAACTATTGGGAGGGGGATGGTTGGGGTTATTTACTGGCAGGGCCAGGCGACCTGTCCCTCCTCACGTCCGCCCCCTGTAGATTAAGATGCAGCTGCAGTCGCCACGGCCAGACGATGGGGAGATTGATGGGAAACACAGGGGCCGCAGAGGAGTGGATGATTTTTCAACAGCCGCCAAAGATGCCACCTCAGCAGCGTTGTCATGTTCGACCAACGTGAAACTACAGGGGTGTCCGCATTGTGTGTAAGAGAGAGAGAATAGGTTGTGTGTACAGCAGAGGAGGCTGGTGGGAGGAGCTATAGGAGGACAGGATCATTGGAATGGCTGGAATGGAATAAATGGAACTGAGTTACACATGTGGTTTCCATAAGTTTTTGATGTGTTTGATACCGTTCCATTTATACCATTCCAGCCATTACAATGAGCCTGTCCTCCTATAGCTCCTCCCACCAGCCTCATCTGGTGTACAGGCATTTGAGTGAGTGAGTGCGTGCACACAGGCTTACAACACATTGTTACATTCCTCCTTTATTTCAACAGGGATGTAGTATATCAATTGTAGTTAATATCTGCCCATTCAGCGAGATTGGCTACAGTTAATTAGCAATTAGCTTAGTATGTCATTGTAATTAGCAAAACCATCATTAGAGTAAATAGATGTAATGTGAATACACGGTTAAAGCAGCTATCTGTGTTTAAGGCCCAAATGGCACCCTAATACATATATAGTACAGTACTTTTGTCGTAAGTAGTGTGGTATTTAGAGAATAGTGTGGGACTTGGGACACAGTCTGTGTGTTGAAATGGGTGAGCGCTCCGGGTCGAGCAGGGGGCTTGCTGACAATACTTTCTCAAAGCCATCTGCCATTTTCCGCTCAATTAATTTGTTATAGGAAGTGGGATCAATTAAGAGAAGCCGGTAATGGCTTTACATCCTAGTTTCCTTTTTATGGCCTAATATTTTCTCTTCTCCTCTCTACCATGAAAAGAGTCTAATCAATACCCGGCCTCTTTTTTACTCCTTTAGTCTCATTTGTTTTCCGCAACCTTTCCTGGCATGAGGAACAGGCTGTAACAAGGGGTTAGGGTTGGGGTCACACAAACTTTATACACGGACAGATGTACAGACGGACAGACGGACGGACAGACGGGTAGACAGGCAGACAGAGAGACAGGCACACAGAGAGACAGGAGAACAAACAGACAAGCAGACAGGCAGACAGAGAGACAGGAGGACAGACAGACAAGCAGACAAGCAGACAGGCAGACAGAGAGACAGGAGGACAGACAGACAAGCAGACAAGCAGGCAGGCAGACAGAGAGACAGGAGGACAGACAGACAAGCAGACAAGCAGGCAGGCAGACAGAGAGACAGGAGGACAGACAGGCATGGAGACGGTGAGATCCAATGGATGGAGGAGAAACAGACAATTATAACACATTTATACAAATGTACATCCATGTTTCCATTTCTCTACTGCAGTCTCACCCTCTTTCCATCTCTCTAACCATAGAAAGAGAGGTTAAGATTCCCCCAGCCATAGAGACAGAGACAGATTCCCCCAGCCATAGAGACAGAGACAGATTCCCCAAGCCATACAGACAGAGACAGATTCCCCCAGCCATAGAGACAGCGACAGATTCCCCCAGCCATAGAGACAGAGACAGATTCCCCCAGCCATAGAGACAGACATATTCCCCCAGCCATAGAGACAGAGACAGATTCCCCCAGCCATAGAGACAGAGACAGATTCCCCCAGCCATACAGACAGACAGATTCCCCCAGCCATAGAGACAGAGACAGATTCCCCCAGCCATATAGACAGACAGATTCCCCCAGCCATACAGACAGAGACAGATTCCCCCCGCCATAGAGACAGAGACAGATTCCCCCAGCCATAGAGACAGACAGATTCCCCAGCCATAGAGACAGAGACAGATTCCCCCAGCCATAGAGACAGAGACAGATTTCCCCAGCCATAAAGACAGATTCCCCCAGCCATACAGACAGACAGATTCCCCCAGCCATACAGACAGACAGATTCCCCCAGCCATACAGACAGACAGATTCCCCCAGCCATACAGACAGACAGATTCCCCCAGCAATAGAGACAGACAGATTCCCCCAGCCATAGAGACAGACAGATTCCCCAAGCCATAGAGACAGAGACAGATTCCCCCAGCCATAGAGACAGAGACAGATTCCCCCAGCCATAGAGACAGAGACAGATTCCCCCAGCCATAGAGACAGAGACAGATTCCCCCAGCCATAGAGACAGAGACAGATTCCCCCAGCCATAGAGACAGAGACAGATTCCCCCAGCCATAGAGACAGACAGATTCCCCCAGCCATAGAGACAAACAGATTCCCCCAGCCATAAAGACAGAGACAGATTCCCCCAGCCATAAAGACAGAAACAGATTCCCCCAGCCATAGAGACAGAGACAGATCAGACATCTCTCTTTTATTTACCACCACTGGGCCCTGAGAGGCATGATCACAATGAAGAAAGGAAAGAGATTAATAAAAATAAAAATATGTGTGTTGTCTATATGGAGGGTGTTAAGTTGCTCCAGTGCTCCTCCCGTCACAACATGTAAGAATTCTGGGCGCCTCTCACTCCCAGCAGGCATTGGGGCTTAGTGACACAGACGGAGCAGGTCATCTGTCAGACACAGGCCCCTGAGTGTGTATGTACAGTATGAGTGTGTGTGTGTGCATATGAGTGTGTGTGTTTCTGCATGTGTGTGTCTGCATGTGTGTGTTTGTGATAGAGACCCTCAGAGGCTGACAGTTAGACAGGCGGAACACCATTAGTTCAGACTCCTACACTCATCGCTCAGCCTGCTCTTCCAAAGGGGCTGAGGAGGATTCAAGAGGTTGTCATAGTGACTGTTCCCCTGGATACACAACTCACAACACTTCCAGACCAGGAGCCCTGGGGGGCGGAGCTCCAATGGCCTCTGACCTATCACGACCTGTCAAGGTCTTGTGGATGGGCTTTAGGTGGAAGAGGGGAAGAGGAGAGGTGGAGAGGAGGGGAAGAGGGGATCGTCCATGTTGTAAATGTAGCTGATCCTCTGTCAGCTTCATGTTATCCTTTCAGAAGCAGAGTGACCTACAGTGCTGAGCCACTTGGCTTGGCTTTGGTTGGTCTTTGGTTGGTCTTTGGTTGGTCTTTGGTTGGTCTTTGGTTGGTCTTTGGTTGGTCTTCAGGATTTGTGTGATGTGAGGGTAAAGACACACTGTAATACACAAGAGAGTGGAACTCTGTTTGTCTCCTAATACTATGTCAGCTGGCTTAATGGAACTCTGCCTCCTGATACTACATCAGCTGGCTTAATGGAACTCTGCCTCCTGATACTACATCAGCTGGCTTAATGGAACTCTGCCTCCTGATACTACATCAGCTGGCTTAATGGAACTCTGTCTCCTAATACTACATCAGCTGGCTTAATGGAACTCTGTCTCCTGATACTACATCAGCTGGCTTAATGGAACTCTGCCTCCTGATACTACATCAGCTGGCTTAATGGAACTCTGTCTCCTGATACTACGTCAGCTGGCTTAATGGAACTCTGTCTCCTAATACTACGTCAGCTGGCTTAATGGAACTCTGTCTCCTAATACTACGTCAGCTGGCTTAATGGAACTCTGTCTCCTAATACTACATCAGCTGGCTTAATGGAACTCTGTCTCCTGATACTACATCAGCTGGCTTAATGGAACTCTGTCTCCTGATACTACGTCAGCTGGCTTAATGGAACTCTGTCTCCTGATACTACGTCAGCTGGATTAATGGAACTCTGTCTCCTGAAACTACGTCAGCTGGCTTAATGGAACTCTGTCTCCTGATACTACATCAGCTGGCTTAATGGAACTCTGTCTCCTGATACTACATCAGCGGGCTTAATGGAACTCTGTCTCCTGATACTACGTCAGCTGGCTTAATGGAACTTTGTTTGTCTCCTAATACTACGTCAGCTGGATTAATGGAACTCTGTCTCCTGATACTACGTCAGCTGGCTTAATGGAACTCTGTCTCCTGATACTACGTCAGCTGGCTTAATGGAACTTTGTTTGTCTCCTGATACTACGTCAGCTGGCTTAATGGAACTCTGTCTCCTAATACTACGTCAGCTGGCTTAATGGAACTCTGTCTCCTAATACTACGTCAGCTGGCTTAATGGAACTCTGTCTCCTAATACTACATCAGCTGGCTTAATGGAACTTTGTTTGTCTCCTGATACTACGTCAGCTGGCTTAATGGAACTCTGTCTCCTGATACTACATCAGCTGGCTTAATGGAACTCTGTCTCCTGATACTACGTCAGCTGGCTTAATGGAACTTTGTTTGTCTCCTAATACTACGTCAGCTGGATTAATGGAACTCTGTCTCCTGATACTACGTCAGCTGGCTTAATGGAACTCTGTCTCCTAATACTACATCAGCTGGCTTAATGGAACTCTGTCTCCTAATACTACGTCAGCTGGCTTAATGGAACTCTGTCTCCTGATACTACGTCAGCTGGCTTAATGGAACTCTGTTTGTCTCCTGATACTATGTCAGCTGGATTAATGGAACTCTGCCTCCTGATACTACGTCAGCTGGCTTAATGGAACTCTGTCTCCTGATACTACATCAGCGGGCTTAATGGAACTCTGTCTCCTGATACTACGTCAGCTGGATTAATGGAACTTTGTTTGTCTCCTGATACTACGTCAGCTGGCTTAGTGGAACTCTGTCTCCTAATACTACGTCAGCTGGCTTAATGGAACTCTGTCTCCTGATACTACGTCAGCTGGCTTAATGGAACTCTGTCTCCTGATACTACGTCAGCTGGCTTAATGGAACTCCCTGCTTTTGCGCTAATGATTTATACACCCTCCCAAACCTGTTGACAGACACACACTCATTAAGAACCTAGTGGTCAATCCTTTGGCCTGTGATGCTCTGTGTGCTTTAGGCTCACAAGGTGCCACTGTGATGGTGGTCGAGGTGGTACGGTGATGGTCTAGAAGGCCTTAGGCATTCCTTTTCAGGTGACGTTCAAATCAATAGCCAATGTCATCAGCCACCGCTGGGTTTAGCCATGGTGATGGTCTCCACGTGTTGGGTCCCACACCCACTCATAACACCACCACACCACCATACCATCTCACACAAACTGCGTCCAAAATGGCAACCTATTCCCTATGTAGTGCCCTAATTTTGAGCAGGTCCCATAGGGCTCTGTTCACAAGTAGTTCACTATATAGGGAATAGGGTACCGTTTGGGACACAGCCTCCATCACAACCAACCCATTTATCATATCCATCACAGTGAACTCAGGGCTTAATGGGGAGTCAATCAATAACTCTTAGGGGTTAGACTGAACCAAGAGGACTGTGCTGAGTCCTGAAACTAATACTAATGGGCCCCAGGCATCCCATCTCCAACATGCCACACATCACTGTCTGTCAGGCCACAACCCTAAAGGGCCATTGTGACCAGAAGCCGCAGACGCGTTGGTCATCCTCTGGTGACAGTCAGTGAGTGGTGTCCGAGTTCTTCCCAGACCCGCTCAGTCAGGAGGCTGGTGGGCTTGAATTCCGGGGTCCGGTTCCCTTTTTTAGGGCAATGTGAACACAAAGCTCCCCAGGTTCGCTTGTCATTATTCCCGCCCAACACACTAGACTACTGCAACATAATTTCCCCTGCCACAACCCCTTACACTGGTGCCACAAAAGAGAGAAGATGATGGTGTGCAGGTTCGCGGAAGAAACGTGCTGTTTTTGGATATTAATTAGCGATTGTCAAGGATGCACAGGTAGTCACTTTAACTCTACCCATGTGTACATATTACCGCAATTACCTCGACTAACCGGTGCCCCCGCACATTGACTCTGTACCGGTACCCCCTGTATATAGCCTCCCTACTGTTATTTTATCTTTACTTAACACTTTTTTTATTTTCTTAAAAACTGCATTGTTGGTTAAGGGCTTGGAAGTAAGCATTTCACGGTAATGTCTGCACCTGTTGTATTCGGTGCATGTGCCAAATAACATTTGATTTGATTTGATTCCAAAATATGTGTGTAGTTTTTAGTTCAATATTATTTGTTTGTAATGTGTGATCTATAGGCTAAGAGAGCTTCATAAGCTGTTTATTTAATTGTGGGGTTTGAATAGTGTGAGATGACAACATGTTCGGTGAGGATCACAACATAGGACACAAAATCAATTCTAACTCTTAAAGGGGCAGTACCCTACTTGGGTGTACAATTTTCTATTACAGCATTATTTAATCTGCAGTTATTCTTCTCCTATTTATTCTGTTAATAATATTTACATGTTAATAGTATCTTCTGATTACAATTATTATGGCTAATCTCTTAACTAAATGCAGTCTATTAGCTTCCAAAATGTAGGTAGGAATATCTAGCTGTCCGATAACACGTTCTGATGGTATGGCTTGTCCTGCACTTTGTAAAAACCCAGAGTGCATGTTGGAAAAAGATCTTGGTTCCTTTCTAAACATAGCAATGTGAATGCAAAGAGGACTCGGGCCACAAAATAGGTGAAATGAACTGGGAAAAAAGACTTGAGTCCTCAGAGTTAACTTTAAAGAGGACTATATGTGAAAACCTTGCCATAAATGTTCTGACCGAGTGGGCCGGAGAGGAACTTAGACACCACTTACTGACTGTCACCAGAGGATGACCAATGCGTCTGGGGTTTCTGATGACAACAGCACTGGGCTCACTCTGTTAGGATAGGATGCTAAACAAGAGAGAAAATCCACAT